TCCTCTAAAAAAACTGACCTTGAACCTAAATTTTTTTTTTAAAAAAAAGCCTGACCTAATAAGATTGGATCAAGTCGAAACTCGTCGGTTCTCCTGTGTCCATCCCTACACATGATTCATGTTCAAATCCTCTTATTCTAATCCTTTCTCTTAATTTTTAATCCTATACGATAATAATTATATCTAATTAAAATTAAAATTAAATTAATAAAAATATATAATAATTAATAATTAAATATATAATTATATAAATTTACATAATGATCACGTATTAATAAATATTTTATACAATAATCAAAATAAAATTAACCCATAATTAAATGACCTCTATAATAATTTGTTCTATTAGTTTTATGTTGATAAAAACCCATAGATGATATTACAATCCTCTCAATCAATTCCTCTCATTCAAACACCAAAAATAGTCATGGTTAAATATTAGTTTTTTTTATCATTATAATCTACGACGATATTAGTTTTAGTGTTAGTCGTTAGTATCTATTGTTTTTATTATATTATATTATATTATATTTTTTTATTAATTTTTAATAACCATGCCTCTAACATATGTTTTTCTCTATGTTTATGGCATGTTCTTTTTCTTGACTTCTTACACGTTTTCATTTGTTTGGTCGTTGTTTTCGTTTATTATTTTTTCAGGATTGTATTTGACATCGTCACGACTGATCAAGATGGTGCTTATTTATTATTATGTTGATCTTTCATGTTTTGAACCATCAAATTGAATTTGGACACGCAATTTGTGTTCGTTGATAGTTTTCTCACATAACTTTATTCTGATTTATGTTTTGTCGATAGTCTTTCAATAGCTTAATCTTTTTTTGTGGTTTGTTTGTCGATGTAGTCCAATATGTTTGTATCTACCTTTCATTCGAGTTTATTTGGTTATGTTTGTTAATATTTTTCTTGTATGGTCATTGTGTGATCTTAAGAGGCTAATTTCTTGTGTTAATTATTATATGAAAAATGCCCTTATTATGTGTATAGCTTATTGTTGTAGTTGTAAACTTTTATTGTAATTTTAATATTTTATATTTTTAATAAAACTAACTTTCTCTATATAATAAAATATAAATTCATGGGTTAGCATAAAACCCCAAATCAAATAATTAAGTTTCTATTGATACTATGTTTTATATTGCTTCTAGTTATGTGGTTCTTTTAGGGTTTTGTCCTAATTTTTTTTCCTTCTTTGATTACCGTAAGTCTTTTTTCTTTTATCTCCATGTGATCAGCATGCTATTGACAAATATATTTGTTTTCCCTTTATTTTATAATAAAGTTATTATTCATTTTTTGGTCGCTAACTACCAGTATTTATTCTTTTTCTTTTATTTTATTACAGTGCATCTTATTTTTTAAATTTAATAACTATGTATTTATGGTATGTTTTACTCTGTATTTATGGCATATTTGTGGTTTTTTTTGTTCTCAATGATATATTTGTTATTGTCACGATTGATCAATATGACACTTATTTGTCATCGTCAATGTTTTTAAAACCGGACCGGACCTTGAACCGGTGAAGGTACTGGTTCACTGGTTCAACCGCGGTTCAACCGGATTTTATATAAAATAATATTTTTTTAAGTTTTACATAATATTCAAAACAATATTAATATATATATAACATTTTTTTTAAGTTTACAATATTAAAAGGTATAAAAATATCACAAGTTATAACATATATAAGTTAAAAGACATAAAATCAAGTGAAAAAAAATGATTTAAATCAACTACAACTAATATTTAAGGTAAAACATATTAAATAATAAATATAATTATATAACTATAATCAAAAAAATAAATTTGGGGCTGAAAAAAATCATAACAAACGATGTCGTTTGGTTTAATTTAAAAAAAAAAAACAATCTCACATGGCTAAGAAACATAGAAGAGCATCCCAACTGATTTTTTATAAATACTAAATATAACTTGACATTCAAAATCATAGAGCCTTTTGGTGAGCACAGAGTGAACTATTCTTTCGCTTCAATTGAGCTTCTAATTTTTTTTTGAGTTCGAGCCTTTTCGAGTTCAAGTTTCAATATAATATTTCGAGTTCGAGTTGAACTTGATAATTTTTAGCTCGTGAGTTTTTGAGTCGAGTTGAGCTTACTTTTAAAGTTTTTGAGTCGAGCTCAGCAGTACTCGAGTTCGACTCGACTCGTTTAACAAATGACGTCGTTTGGTTTAATTTTTTTTAAAGAAAAAAAGAGAACCGGCGGTTCACACCGGGTTTTTGCCGGTTCACCCCGGTTTTGTCTGTTATCAGTCGGTTCTTTATCGATTATGTGCTCATCCAATTTTGGGAGTTAATCGGACCGTACATGCCACCGGTTGACGGTTCAACCGGTCGAACCGACCGGTCCGGTTTTAATAACATTGGTTATCATATTGGTTTTCATGCTTTTGACCTCGAATTGGATTGGATACATGATTTGCTTCATGGATAGTTTTTTCACGTCGTTCGACTCTGATTTATGGTTTGTCATTGATATCTCAATAACTTGATCATCTTATGGTTCGTTTGCCGATGCGATAATATATATTCGTATCTATCTTTTGTTCGAGTTTATTTGGTTAGATTTTTAACTTTTCCCTTATATAGTCCTTTTGTGATCTTAAGCATCTAGTTTTATTGTGTTAATGATTATATAAAATTATCCTTAATATATTCTCCATTTGTCCCATTAAATGTGTCTTTTTTTTGTTTTTAAAATTATCTCATTTAAAATGTGTTATTAGAAAAGTCAACAAACAACAACACTTTATATTACTTTACCTTGTATGTCACACTCTTTTGCACTTGTCAATATAAATCTACCAAATCTATCAATAACGTTTTAGAGATAATTTTATTATTTTCTTTGGTCAAATATATCTCCTACTATGTACATAGTCAATATAAGATACAAATTATGGGACGGATAAAGTATTTAGTTAACGATTATAGTTGTAAACTTTCATTATAATTTAAATATTTTATATTTTTAATAAAACTAGTTGCTTATATTAAAAAAAATGCTTTTGATTCTATTTATCCATGTATTTTGCATGTATTTATTGCTTTGATCTTGTGTTAGGATCAAATTAGGTGATTTCTTTGCTTTTGTTAATTTTCATATATTTTAAGCAATTTGATTCACTTTGTTAGATCAAAATTTTAGTATTTTTTTCCAATTAATCTTCAATATTAGAAAATAAAAAAAACAAATTAAAAATTTTAGAATTTACTCATGACTTGCTCTACAGACGATCTTGAAATGTCTTTGCAAATCATCTTCCTCAGCAAGTCTTTGAAATATCTTTGCAAACCAACAGAATTTACCCATGACTTGTTCTACAGAGAATCTCTTCAGCCGTTTTGCCATAGAATGGAGGAATGTCGTCCCACATGACAAACAAAACAACACTCTAACTATCGACCTTCTCAGTTCCGGATGAAAACGAATTAAGTGAGATTTTTGGCTCATCTAAATTTGATCTAAAAATTAAAGTTCTTCGTAAGCATTCGACTCGATCTAAATTTAAGAGGGTCTTATCCGACATAAAATCCAACCCAATATTTTACATTAAAACATGCATATGACTTGATCCAACTCGATATATATAATAGATCGTTGAGATTGACTTGTTTTCCCCAGTAAATATTCTCAATTCCTACTCTTAATCTCAGTCATCTATTTTCACTCATCTAACAATTTTAAATCTGTGTAAAACTAAAAGATTTTTACATTGTGTAACATGAGCTTATCCCTATATATATATTAGATAAAATAAGGACCTAATTGAGAAAAATAAAATAGAAATGTGTATTACATAAATTACCCTAAATATAAAAAGGATAATTATAATATTATATCGAGTCCGATTTTTTTCATCATAAAATTAAATTTGACTCTATCAAAACCTAAAAAAGTAGATCATAACCCAAATTTTCAAAATAAAAAATCGATTTAAGTGAATCAAGTCAAGTTGAAATATGTCGACTCCGGATGAAATGATCATCTCATCCCCAATTAATCGGAGTATTCAATTTATTGATTGATTAATCTAAATCAAATTTCTATTATAAAAACGGCATTCCCAACCCAACTTACTACATTTACAATCATCAAAATTTAAATTCTTCGTATTACTTTAAATTCCCCATCTTTAAATTACCCCTAAAATAAAAAGAATGTTATCGGGTTTGATATCTATGTGAACAAACCCGATCGAGCATGTGACAACGCTCTAGAGATGACACCGAAACAACCCCTCTCCATATCTTTGCGTGGCTGCTACTTGTTCTTCAATGATTCACTCGACACTTTTCATGCTGTTGGCTGAGAGTTTCATGTGATTTGGTTTATTTGTTTTGGTCAAATTTCAAGGGTCAAAACTTGAAAAACAACTTTGGTTTCATTACAACTTGTCAAAATTTAATGAAGAATAACTTAAAATTTTGTTATATATACATATTATTAAAATATAACTATTTTTTTTTTGCATGACCTAATGATAAAAGGTAACGTTTTTCCCCTTCCATGCCCTATTTTGAAATTAGTTCTAAAAAATAAAATGGTAAAAACTACGTCTTTAGTACCCTAATTATTTTAACGGCCAATGACCAAAATAAAACAATACATAATGTTAGATATAATTTAAAAAATGATTAAACGATTAAAATAAAATAAATGTGCTAGTTAAGGTACTAAACAAATAGTTTACCTAAAATAAAGAAGAGATTTAGGGCCTGAAGAAGTTTGAACCCGCGCCATAAGCTTCGTGGAGCCTATTCCTAAGTCCAACATCAAGTTTCCTCCCTCACTCGAGAGTCCCCTTTTCTCTTCGAATCATGGTAGAGTTTGTCCAAAGTTTCAGATAGGAAACCCATTAGAGCTACAGTCTAAACCCCTCGGTTTCATCACCGCCGTTCGAGGAGTCCATCGCGGCCCTGGTTGTAGCCTTTGTTTCCATCGCCATTTCCATTGATGCCATCGTCTTCGCCTGGTAAATACTTCTTCTTTCTCTATTAACTCGTGGTCTACTGCTAAATGGTTGTTAGAGTCCTATAATCTATATCGCCGTCGTTGGGATTAGACCCATGTCTTTGTTATATTCTGTCGTTTAGCCGTCGTTGTTTGCTTTTGTTGTGATGTCAAGATATTGTGTCGCCATTGGTTCGCCGATCCTTGCACTGTTGCAGTCGCCGAGGGCGCCAACGCCGTGTTGTGGCCGCTGCTTGCTGTTGAAGGGCCAATCCCAAACCCGTATGTAGGGAACGATAGTTTGCTCTTTCTTATTTTATTTTATTTGCTCTTAACAGGTTTGTTCTTGGAGAATAAGCGACATAGCAAGTTGATTATGGTGATTAGTAATAGATTGTTGCAGAGGTTGGCTTGTTGCTATTGTAGGCTGTACTCTCAGCCTTCCCATCTTTATCATTTTCGAAACTTCTCTCTTTGGTCAATGAAGAAAGACCCTGATCTTGAATCAGCGCTTTCCAGAAATCGCCGTTGGATAGTCAATAACCAGATTAAAAACATAATACTTAGATGCCCAAACCAGGTGGCACCTTTGAAGCATCTTCAGAAGAAGTTTAAGAGTCTTGATCTTCAAGGCAAAGCTCTCAATTGGCTCAAGAAGTATCCCTGTTGCTTCGAAGTTTATCTCGAGAATGATGAGTATCATTGTATATTAACAAAGCAGATGATGCATTTGGTTGAAGAGGAAGAATCGGTGAAAGATATGCAGGAGCCAATATTTGTACAGAAAATGGCAAAGTTGTTAATGATGAGCATGAATCAAAGGCTTAATGTTACAAAACTTAATGAGCTCAAACACAGCTTTGGATTTCCAGATGACTACATCATTAGAATTTTACCGAAGCACCCAGAAATGTTCCGACTGGTTAATAACGGTTGGAGGAAGAGTTCAGTGGAAATCGAACTTCTGGCATGTAACCCTGATTTAGCAGTTTCTGCTGTCGAAGCTTCAGCTCAGAAACAGGGAACAGAGCCTTATTTCTCGTGTTCGTTACCTTCAACTTGGACCAAATCACTACAGAGATTTGAAGAATTTAATGCAATTCCCTACGTCTCACCTTATTTAAATCCTAGAGGTCTAGAAGAAGGAACAAAGGAAATGGAGAAGAGAATTGTGGGTATTGTGCACGAGTTGTTGTCATTGACATTGTGGAAGAAGCTATCAATTGTAAAGCTAAGCCATTTCAAGAAAGAATTTGCTTTACCTGAGAAATTGAATGTTTTGTTGCTCAAGCACCCCGGCATCTTTTATGTGTCGAACAAGTATCAGATTTATAACGTGCTCCTTAGAGAAGCTTATGATGATGGGTCTGGATTGGTAGATAAAGATCCACTGGTCATTGTGAAGAATAAATTCGGCGAATTGATGCAAGAAGGGCTTCATGAATATAACCAGAGGCGCCGCTTGGTAAATTTGGAAAAGAAGAAGAAAGGGATGAATTTGATGAAGTCGGAGAGAAGGAAAGATGGAAGCGCTGAAAATTCCGACCAGGATGACAATGGTGATAATTTAGGAGGTTTATTTGACCGGAAGAACGGAAACGATTTTATAAGGTCCTTTTTGATGAAAAATATCCATAATTTCGAGATGATTTTAACCTCGATGTCTTTTGCTTTTCGGATCCAGCTAGTAATGAGCAAAGCCTGGAGAAAACTTTTGCTACCGGGTTGACTACTGAGATGGTATGCGTGTTTTTTTTCTCATTTTTCCCACTATATACACACCTTGCAATAATATTATGGCATGGGAACGTGTCACATTTTGTTTATTATACGGTTTTCAGATACCTTATAAATATTGTCATTATTTATACAATTTTCAATGTAATCAATTCCAACCATCAACCTGCTCCACATCTCTTTGGTGTGGATGCATGATTTTATGCTGGGGATGAAAATAGATTATCAATAGAAAATATAAAGAAAACATTTAACTGACACGAGAATTTGAAATTTTCCGGGGAACGGCTACCCCGCCAGCCTCCCTCCCTCCGTCCTTGGCCTCAACCTTACTTTACTGATTTTAACCGGAGGGCATAGTTTCATGTTGGAAGGATATGCTTGGTGAGTATAAGAACATTCATTCAATGTAAGTATCTGGTACATAGAAATATGTGTAGGCATTGCAGGTTAGGGTTGTAAAAGAGTCTTGCTGGGATCAGTCCCTTTGTATCTGTTTATCATAGGGCTTTATCACCATTAGGGTAGAGAGAATGAACCTAAATGTGTTGTTTAGAGAGATTAGGTCCAAACTATAGAGCATAATTGATGGGTATACTATTGTTGTTGTAACAAATCTTTATATTTAGAATGATATTTATTCCTTGGAGTAGGTATATGGGCAAAATCAGTCCAATAATCCAAGCGGGTAAATTGTTTAGCCCAATAAGGTGACTTGGAAATTATTTTGGGATCTACGGCATTTGTTACAGTGCACATGAAACTCGTCACGTTGGCGTAACAAGTTTCATAAAATATATTAAAAAATTGAAACTCGTCACGCCGGTGTGACAAGTTCTATACAATTTTGTTCTATATCATATGACGAGTTCTAATTTTTAATATATTTTATGACGTGATAAGTTTCACGATCACCGTAGTAAATGCCGTAAATCTCAAAATAATTTCCGGGTCACCCTATTGTGCTAAATAATTTACCCACTTGGATTATTGGGCTGATTTTACCTAGGTGTGTGTGTATATATATCTAAAATTAACAGATTATCTCAAATGATAAAATGGTACAACTGAATGTTGTGACAAAGATGAACCTTTATCATTTTTATCATTCTTGTATGTACTGATAATGCTTTCTTGTAAACAACGGCTGGCACAATATATTCCTTCTTGGTTTATCTATCATGAACAAAAATAAACTAAATGTCCTTCTGGCTTTTAAATCTCAAACAATCAATTATCAACAATGGCATCGAGTTCAAACAATTTAAATTGTAAGGTAATCCATTTTTTTAAAAGAATTTCTCAAGTGATCTGATAACGTAAAGGTGTTTAAACAATTATTTTGGTCATCTACTGAATCAAATAGTCATAATTGAATTATTTTTTTAACCGCTACTTGAATTAATTTTTTTTATTAAAAATTATTAACGGAACAAAATTTGGCTAATTCGGTCAGTTTTTGAATTAACTGAATTATTAATAATTTTTTAGTTAAATTAATTTGAGTTTAATAAATATATATTTTATTTTGATTAAAATTTAATTGGGTGTTGAAAGTTTAATGAGTTTAATGTAGTTAAAAGATTGTTGGATCTTGATTCTGAATACGTTTAAGCTTAATATATGTATACACACACAATATATGTATATATATATATATATATATATATATATATATATATATATATTCAGTTAATTAACTGATAACTGAATTTTAAATATTTTTAATTGTTAACCGATCTAACATTTAATTATCTGACTGATTAACCAATTAAATTTTTATTTGATCGGTTAATTCAATTAAAACCAAATCAAACAATGAAAACCCTAACCCTATTTCTATCCAAACACTGTCTTCTATCATCAATCAATCATGACTATCTGGGATTATTAGCTACCTAATAAAGGGCAAGCTTGAGGTCAGCATGCAAATCATCACTATTCACTACCACATGTCCACAGGCCACAGCTATGAATCAGTGGGTCGCTTTCAGTTCAGATCATCGAGGAAAAAAAAAACAACAGCTACCTGTTTATCAGCCATGATATAAACAAATAGCCCTAAGCATTTGACATCTTCTGAGAAAAACAATTGTGATCTTTATACAAAATTGACATTTGTTTTCTTCCATTTATTCTGACCTTTTTCTTTTGCCTCTTATGGCTGATCAAGATCCTTTCCATCAAAGAACAAAGGTAAACAGCAAACCTCTCAGAAGATGCAGACCAAAGAATTGTTAAATCTTATGAGAAAACATTGGTTCCTTTCCGGTGTTTACATTGAAATTATCATTTCCATTGGTATCAACTACCAGTTGTAGTCAGTTTGTATACACATATATATTTGCATATGTAGTAAGTGATGAAGTTCAAATACCAATTAGGTTACTTTTAGCATTTGGTCCTGGTGAATGAAAATGGAGCTCAGCATGTTGATGATCATGTTACTCCTTGTCATATTTGTATCCACTGCTTTCTGCTTATCTCGTATATCAACTTCACCAAAAGCAATGGATGATATCCCTGGTAGCTTGGGATGGCCTGTAATCGGTGAAAGTTTATCATTTCTGTCAGATTTTTCAAGCCCATCTGGTATATGCAGTTTTATGCACAAGAGACGACAGAGGTAATGAATCAAATTTCTGGGTATTAATAAAATGTTCTTTATGTTTCAATTATCTTACTAGAACTCGAGGGTCGGATTCATATACTTCAAGAAAAATGAGAAGTTGAGCAGCATGTAGTGTTTAGATATACGTGTTTAGTGCTAAAATATACTGTTTTTTTTTCTCCACCAGATATGGGAAAGTTTTCAAGAGCTTTGTTCTGGGGAGATTCACAGTGTTCATGACTGGAAGAGAAGCAAACAAAATCTTGTTGACAGGCAAAGATGGGATGGTGAGCTTAAACCTTTTCTACACAGGCCAACAAGTTTTGGGTCCCAACAGTTTGCTCCAAGCCAATGGTGAAGCACACAAGAGGCTTAGACGTTTGATAGCTGAGCCACTCTCAATTGATGGTTTGAAAAAGTACTTCCATTTTATCAACAGTCACGCGATCGAAACGCTGGATCGATGGTCTGGTCAAAGAATATTGGTCCTTGAAGAGGCTTCTTCAGTTGAGTATTGTGGAAAAAGCAATTTGGTTTATGTTAAATTTATCTGGAAACTTTGAACTCATATAACTTTCTGGTTTGTAGTTCACTCTCAAGGTAATTGGCAACATGATAATGAGCCTTGAACCTAGTGGTGAAGAGCAGGAAAAGTTTAGAGCAAATTTCAAACTCATTTCTTCGTCATTTTCTTCATTGCCTTTCAAATTCCCAGGAACTGCCTTTTATCGTGGTATCAAGGTAATGTTCTGTTCAGCCATATGTTATTCGGACTCGGAGTGTCGAAGTCCTAATATGTGTCGAATGCAGACATTTTACGAAAAATGAATAGTCGGGGTAAAGTAACATATCGAAAGATGAACCTAATCATACATTTGCCATATTTTCAGGCCCGGGATAGTATGTATGCCATGCTAGACTCAATCATTGCAAAGAGGAGAAATGGGGAAGTGATCCAACAAGATTTCCTAGAGTCCCTGATTATTAAACATAGCAAGGGAACAGACACAGTAGATGATGAAAATAAACTCACCGATCAGCAAATGAAGGACAACATCTTGACTCTGCTAGTTGCCGGTCACGACACCACGACCGCAGCTCTTACATGGCTCATCAAATTCCTTGGAGAAAATCCAGCAGTTTTGGAATAGCTTAGAGTAAAATCACTTACTCGATATCGTTCAAGCTAAATTATTGTTTCTTTCACTTTAAAAACTCGAATCCGGGGTGATTTTGCAGGAGGAACATCTGCAGATTCGAGCAAATAGGAAGGATGGAACCGGCCTTACATGGTCCGAAGTTAATAATATGCTTAACACCAACAAAGTAAGCTTATATACTATGAATCAACTCATTCAAGGCTCACTGTGGACTAAAACTTTTCACCCATTAAATTCAGGTACTTAGTGAAACTCTCAAAAGAGCTACAATTTTACCTTGGTATTCAAGGAAAGCTGCCCAGGCCTTTGAAATTGATGGTATACTAGTATGAACAAATATTTTCTCGGGAAATGTAGATCGGAAATGACTGCTTTTACTCGATTTTCCAGGCTACAATATAAAGAAAGGGTGGTCCATTAACCTGGATGTTGTTTCAATCCACCATGATTCTGAAACTTTCCCGGATCCTGAAAAGTTCGATCCTTCCAGATTCAATGTAAGAAATCAGCAATGGAATTTTGATTTCTTCCAGGAAGCATATACTTTAACATATCTATGCATTTCAATTGCAGGCACCGTTAAAGGCTTTCAGTTACCTCGGATTCGGCAGCGGACCACGAATGTGTCCTGGCATGAACCTGGCTAAACTGGAAATCTGCATCTTCATCCATCACCTGGTCTGCAAGTACAAGTAAGATGATGCAATGCTTAAGTTATAAAACTATAATAACATAGTTTGGTGACTAAATTATATCAATGCAATCTCTACCATAGGTGGAGAGCTCTGGAGAAAGATGATTCGGTGCAGCCAACGCTTGTTCGTATGCCGAAGAACAAGTACCCTGTTATTGTCGAGCCGCTGTGAAACATTTTGAACCGAAATCAAATATGAAGGGAAAAGATGGAAAGCATTACAGCATGAATTGAAGAACAGGAGAATAAAGTTTTTTTTAACAAAACCACTGCAATTTAGTTCAAGTGCTTGTGTATATATATAACAAAGTTTAGTACCATGGATAAGGAAGTACTTGTCACCCTACAGATTTTGATAATTTTTTAGGGGCTTAGTTCAACCGGTTCATGCAATCATCTTTAAAAATGTGATATGCAATGCCATTTCGGATTCGAATCCTTCCGCAAACCCGAGATAAGAACGATTCATTTCGACTCTGTCCGCTGGCGATACAAAGCGGTTGAACATGTTCTTGGTACCAAGCTGATGATTTTTCCGACCAGTTCACTCAAGAAGAAATCCAGTTTCTCTATAGTTCATGTCAAGTAGAAGCAATACCGGAAATAACAGAGACAAAGACGGTGATCATTTAACTCATGCTTTCAAACTTACTTCCAATAGAATACCAACCGAACGTGTTTTAGGAAGAGATGAAATTATAAAATTTTAGGAGATGAAAATCAATTTTTAATATAAAATATATTATAATTTTAAATTTTCAGATAACATCTCTTAAACACGTCACCTCGATCCATCCTGATAGTGGTATAAAAGCTTCGAGTGAGGAGTTTGTAGATAGGTGCGGACTTGGTTGTAATAGAATATTATCACGTGAAACATGGGTTTACTCTAGTATTATACTGACCAACAAGAATCTTCCCTTGACAAACACGTTTTGGAATTGGAGTAGATTATTCATTCGCTATGGGCTATTTATTAAAATATTTGCAATAAGTCGCTAATTGACCTTTATTTTTTTTCTAACATTACTATTTACTTTGTATTTATAAGTAACTCCTTTTAATATTATTTACTTATTTGCAATAAGCCACTATTATAACTAATATTTGTTCTAAAGATAACACTCTTACAGTCTCTGATGCTCGAATATAAAACCTTTAAAGATAACAATCATCCTTTTAACTATAAAATAATTTAGTTCGGGTCTTTTTTTTAACAATATTTTAAACAATTATATTAAGAGTTGTAAACCGTTAAAAGTTACACCTATAAAATATTAGCATTTACACACAGATGAATAAATCTTCTTCTACCTCTTTCTGACTTTTATTTATTATCTAATTATGTTCATAAATTTCAATTAACAAATAATTCTAGACCTGTTTGATGAAACGTCCAAAACCATTTATTCTTACTTTGTAGGTCAATAAAGATATTAGTATTAAATAAAATTTTAAAATTATCAATAATTAGTACTATTGATTCCGATTAAGTTACGGACACCTATAAACGACTTGGGTCTAATTTTCTCAATAACAAAAAGTAAAATTTTAAAAAATATTAAAATTACAAGAATTAAAATAAAAAATTATAAAAAAATTATTCAAAAAGAAATAACGTGCACATTAGATGTTGTAAATATGTGTTAACACGGATACAAGCTCAGCGACGACAGTATATATACTAATTTAATTTTTAATCTCTAAATAAGTGTATGTTTAAAAATAATATTCAAATACTTAAAAAACTAATATCTCAATAATGTAAACTTATTTTATTTCTTTACACTATCAAATCATAAAATATTTAAAAACTTAAATATAAATTTTATACATACACTTATTAAATGAATAAAAATAAATTCTACATACATATATCATCGTTGCTACCTAATTTATATTCGTATTTATAGTAATACGTAACTTCTTTTTAACAAAATTTGTATAAATATTCAGTTTTTTATATAGTTTTATCAATATATTTATTTTCAGACAAAAAATCACATAGGGTGAGTGTGTTGTCGGAAAAATACCTCAAAAAACGCGTGTAGCGTGAGTCGATGCAATAATAATACCACACCCACTACGCACGAATCTCGCTCCTTTTCTTTTTCTCATTCTCTTCACGAAAATGGCATTTTCGTGGTTCTTTTGAATCTGTCTCTCTCACCGTAATTCTCTCTTCTTCTCAAGGTTATATGTGTACATTCACAGACATTTTTTAATACAAAAAATGGGCTATCTCTATCCACTTAAATTCTCTTTCTTCCATTAAAAACAAACAAACGAAGCCTCTCCTTCTCACTTTACCTGAACTGTTCCTTCTCTGCTACACTTACGGAATTTCCAGATTTACCCTCCGAATTCCCTCAGAACCACCATTATCTCCCTCCATTTTTGGTCCTCTCAAATTCCATCACCAGTCAAAGATCTTCTTCACTCTGATCAATTAAAAAAAACACAGTGATTTCTCACCTCATGCGATGCATAAATAGCAACAACGAAGGAAAAAAAGGAGTAGATTTCATTGTTGATGGATTTGACGGAAGGAGTCGGAGAGAGCTCATCGCCGCCGAGAAGCTTCGGCAGCTTCAACGGCTACGATGTCCGAAACGACGTGTTCAATCGTTTAGTTGAATCCGGCCACGAACAAGCTGTTTCTGATCCTGACTTTCGCGAGCTCTTAGATTCTCACTTCAACCGTTTGCCTGCTAGGTAAAATTTAGTTCTTAAACGAATGATTTTCTGCGTTTATAAGTTATAGCTATTATATATGTTTATTTACTTGGATAAGTTGAAGCTGATGAAGTTGTTTGGTTATTTGATTCAGCTATGGACTTGATGTTAATATGGATAGAGTGGAAGATGTTTTGTTACATCAGAAGCTGCTTGCATTGGCCAAGGATCCGGAAAAGCGGCCAGTTTATCATATCCGCTTCTTGGAGGTATTACTATTTTACCTTTTGTTTAAATTGCAAATGTTGAGGGTTTTAGAAGAACATCTTCCGGTTTTGTACCTTTTTTATGTATTCAAGATATGGTTACCGAAACAGCAAAAAGTGGAGATACGTGTTTTTCTTTTCAGTTACTAGTTCATAAGAAGTGATTTTTGTTGTTAATTTAATGTGAAGACTGAAGAGGTTGAAAACCGGGCTTCTTGTGATGTTGTGTGTAATTCAAGCCACGTGATAGTAAAGGTAATAAGGTTTATTATTTTTCAGAAAAAGTAGGGGTTGCAAGAAATATAAGTAAATTGTGTTGCTACCTTACTGATCAATAATGATTAAAGAAAAGTGTGCTAGGAGCCATTTTTTTAAAAATTGTGCATATATGCGTGGTTTGTGGTATGAATTTTTCAAAAGGACGTAAGTGCTGGGTAAATTTTCCCTTTATGTTTAATTGTTAATGTTGTAATGGCATTTCCAAATCTTTTGGTGTGCAGTTGACCCCTTATGTTTGTCTATGAGAGAACCTGAAAGAAGTACATATCAGATAACATTTACATTAGTAGTTACGCATGTTAAAACTATTAGTTTTATTTGACCAAGTATCATCTGCTGCTTTAAGTAGAAACCTAATGGACTAGGTGAAAATCATTTTACTAGTATTCTTTTCCAATTAATATGGGTAAAACATGTTTATACATTGACAAAGGGTAAAAGAGTTTTAAAATGAAATTTGTCTTAAAGATTTTTTACTTGGAAAGTAAGTTATATTGAGATAGCCTGGTCCTACCATTAACAAAAAGCCTTTGCCTATATCTTTAAACACCTTATATTGATTGTTTATGACTTTGTTCCTTTTTCTTTTTAATTTTTAGATACATGGTTTTTGTCACTACATTTATAATTTATTAGTAAATTATATCTTTACCATATTGTTAATATGATGGCCTTGCATGTTGATATTTCTTTTTTTTTTGGGTAATGTGGTGCATTTTTTTTGCCGTGATTTCCTGATTCTGCTTGTTTTATCCCTTTTACATGATTCTGTGTAGAACCTTTGCGCCAAAGCAGATGCGATTGATGATCAACAATATTTAAATTCTTTTACTAACCAGTCTTTTGATGATGGAGATAGCGAAAAAGTTGTGCCTTCGAATAAAAGGTATTATATTATAAGATTGTAAGTTATGTTCCCCTTTCCCATTTCAGTATTTGGTCCTAAATGTTCTATTTTTTTCAAATTTTCTTTTCATTATTACTACTTTAATGTCACTCGAATTGCTTGTTTTCTTAATAAAATTTTAATTATTCGTCTACCACCTTCTGTAGGAGAAGCAAAGATCATCCTGTTGACTTTGAACCCTGCTCTAAGCTTGAGGACCTAAATTTGGAAATCAGAAAGAGCTCCAAGTGTGTAGAGGACATACATCTCACTGAGAACTTTCCTGAAAGGTACTTTGTCAAAGGTTGTTGGACCTCTTTTTCCTTTTCCGAAAGTTTTGCCATATATTATATTTGCCCTAACTATACATAATTACTTTTCAAGAGGATCATTAGGAAGCGTTTGTTTTTTCTTGTGATGCTCAGCCTCTCACTCTCTGTTCCCTCCCTTGAATTGAAAACTGAAGCAGCAAATGTGTATTACAATGTATATATGAACATGTTCAAATATTTAGTACTATACATAAATGCCTGTGCGGAATGCATGCGTACTAGTATGCAGCTAATATATGCATCTGTCATGTTAGACATGGATTTCTCATATGTATGCATGGGAAATAAGTTGGTTTTCGGTATATGTTATGCAGACAAGAAATTGTACATATTCATGAAGTGATATTTTCTACCACCGACAGGCCAAAGCTGCTTAGTCAGGTATGTTTGACAATAAAAATGTTCTTTTATTGTCGAACAGAGCAGTCGTTTGTTAGAGTGAACTTACATGTTAAAGTGAGTGATTTTCAATGTTTTCTACTAACACCTTGTGATTTTTATCTTGACACTGAACAGCCTGTGGCTTCTATTATCATAAGGTTACTGTGATAATTATTTCAACAAAATGACAAAAATATCCTCATATTTAGGAGGCACTTTACTTTTTCTTGTTATTGCTTACTTAACATGATAACCCCTATGACAACATGATGAAACTACTGGGTGTAATGTGTCAAGGAAAAAGCTGCAAGGTGTTATATGAGAAACTGAGAAGCAGAAGGGTGGAAGTCTAATGTACCCTTTATCTTTGCCACAGCTTTGGTCATACTGATATCTGATATCACCATGCTTAAAGTTTGGGCATGTTTTAATCTATATTTGTGTATTCAACATGTCTTCCAACACAGTTTCAGTTATGAAAAGCACAACCATTAATATGTATATGTGTGTGTATAACACAAACCAGAGCTTGAAATTGATCCTTTGCTTTCTTTGAGATCTTAAAGAGCTTATGATGCACAGTTGTTTACTAGTTTTGTATTTTTGTGGTTCAATTCATTAATGGAACTTTTACAGTTTGTTGTCCTAATTATATGCTTTCCGACTCCTGAAAATTCTTGTCCCTCTTGTCATCATATGGTGGCTTATACTAAGAGCATCCTAAGCTGCTTTCTTGCCATCTGCCGATAGATATAGTTTCTAGTTGCATGAACTTTACGATTTTCATATGTTTATGGTGTTTATCCTTTCCTTCAAAACAGGAGAGCAATAGTTTCTGTTTTGTGAACAATGTCAAAACTTGTGTTAAGAAGATTATCAAGATAAGTATTCTTGGAATTAGTAAAGAGATAAACAACTAATGTTGAGTTATATTTGGACTGTTTGTGGGGCTTTCAACATCATTTATCTTGTTAATCTAGTCAAACTGAAATACTGACCCGCTGTCATTTTTTTCTAGCTTTCTGCATTGCTTTCTGATATAGGACTTAACATTCGTGAGGCACATGTGTTCTCAACAACTGATGGCTACTCTTTGAGTGTGTTTGTGGTAGATGGGTGGCCTATTGAGGTAATCATCACTTCATTGGATGTTTTACTGTTATTTTGTCCTTGTATCATCATATAATTGGATGTTTCATATGTTGTATAAATAACAATGGATCTTGCTTTGCAGAAGATAATGTATCTTTTGCTATTGTCTTGAGGCACAATATCTTCAATTACTATATTGTTATTCTATTCATGAATTATTTTAAGCAGTAAAAATCAGATCTAATTCGTGGAAAAGAACTCCAGATGCCCCCAGTGTGCTGAGAAAGGAAATAAATGTTATTTCATGTTTTAGACTTTCTGTGCTGATGCTATTTTTTGTTCCTGGCCTAGGTCAGCCCTTTCTGTTTCATTTTTGAGCCTAATCATATAACGACTGACATTCAACATAGATTAAAAAATCATCATGGTTTGTATTAAAATTTATCAAGTCAGTTACATTAAGCAATATACAGTTTATCCCCAGCCAGTAGCCATGTAATGTATTAAGGAGCATTGTGATTATATTTCCTTTATGACAGGGATCTGTGCTGAGTCCGAATGCTGACTTTGCAATGTTGTGGTCAGGATACAGATGGTTTATATAAAGCTATGGAAAAAGCGGTTGCTAGAAGCAAGGTGAACATTGTCCATGTGAATTCTATTTATGGGCTTCTGCTTCAATTTGTTGCAAGTTTGCAACTATCTGATTTTTTTTTATCAAATCCCTTGAAAAAGTTATTGTTAGTATTACTAGATTGTAGGTTTTACGTTTTACAATGTGGTAGTAACTATGACTCAACATTGAATTTTGAAAAGTTCAGTACTGTGCTTCTAATGGAAGTTTTCAATTCTCGGTTGTAAGAACCTGTTGATGTAGCTAGTATCAGATTCATGCATTTGATGACTGATCTGTATGTAAATCTGTACTTCGTATATAATTGGGTAGTTTGCAACCATGGTTTTTAACCCCTATAATTTGTTTTTGATGCATTAAATTTCTTTTGGCCTTTTTTAGTTACTATTTTCTTCAACTCTTTACTATCTTCCTGTTGTATCTAGTGTTCTCACATGATAGTTAATACCTTTTTATTTGCACCTCCCCTTCATTAGTAACTTATGAATGCCAAATAGATAATTTATCTTATGATCCACTGGAAATGTAGGGGTCGTATTCTGGATCTTCACATTCTCCTCCAGATATAAATGATGCATTAGCAACACAAGAAAACTCTGGAGATTGGGAGATAGATAGAAGACTTCTGAAGATGGGAGAAAGAATTGCGTGTGGGTCTTGTGGAGATCTGTATGTTGTGCTCTTACGAACTGGCTACTTCTGATCTACTTTATTCTCTATTTCCCCTTTCTTTTGATCTAGCTTCTTCTGATCTTCCTTTGAAGGTATCGTGGTATCTATCTTGGGCAAGATGTTGCGGTTAAAATTCTTAGATCTGAGCATTTGACTGATACTCTTGAAGATGAGTTTGCTCAAGAGGTGGCAATCCTACGGTGAGTAGCTTTTAACTGCTACTCTAGAGTTCAGTGATGGTTCACGTTATCTTTGCAACTGTCTTTAATGCTGTTGAATCCCAGTATATTATTTTTTTAAAGCCCCCCCCTGCTCCTCACTTTCTACACCTATCCACTTGCCCAAAGAAAATGGCAATGAAAAGGAAAGAAATAGTTGAATTCATGAACACATATCTTTCCATGTTATTGAAGGTCTCTCAGTTTAGTTTAGTCTCCTCCAGAATTTTGCCATTTATGTCTGACAAGCCTTTAACCTTAATAAACTATAGGAGTACAATCAAGTTGATGAAAATCTGTAATAACGATGTTTCTCGAGATTCTAACTTGTATAATCATGTACTTGCTCCTTAGATTATAAATTTAAATAAAAAGGAATTTTCGCTGGCATTTCTTTACTAAATGATGAATGTGTAGTGATATATTTCCCCTATTAGGAACTATTTCAGAAAAAAAAACTATTTTAGCCTAAATGTTTAATTATTAAAAAAGTCAAAAAGCTAGTGAGAGAAGCTCGCTTCTCTCTTGGTGTATTCTTTTTATCAAACCCGATTCCCACTCCCTTCTTTCTAGGCTGGGAATTTCGTGGCCAGTACCACCGTCATCACTGTCGTCAGAAGCCGTGCCGGCCGCCACCTCCGGTTGCCGTTGACCACCGAATCGCCAAGATTTGCTCGCCTCGACGGAAGCAACAAGGTTATAGGATTTTTTTCATGAGGGAGAGCCTACATCACAGTAGATCTACGCCGACACCCATAGATTCATCCGGCGTCACCGGTGGTTGGTGACCACAAGCAAACTTGGTGGACTCGTTCCGACACTGGTAATGTAATTCTGAACGTGGATTCGTCAAAAAAGGCACTCATCTTAACAAAAACCACTGAGATCATTCCAGCTTAGAATGTACCGATCTCCTTCGGTAGCTATTGGATCGTCTCGGATCCGAGGTATGTTGTTCCCGGGGATTTTCAACGCCTACTCACCTTTGGGTTTAGCCAAACGAGAGGCAAGACTAAGGTTAAAGGCTCCGTCCGAGACATTTGCTTCAAGGTCAGCAGCTACAAGCCGTTTACAGTTTATACAGTCTCGACAGAGTAACAAAATTTGTGTGGACTGTAAAAATAAAATTCCACAGTGGGCTTCGGTAACATACGATGTTTTCATGTGCTCAAAGTGTTCCTGCAAACACCAAGGCTTAGGTGTACATATCTCGTTCGTTCAATCTGTTAACATGGATTCGTGGTCAGATATTCAGATCAAGAAAATGGAATCGGGTAGCAACGACAAGCTCAACGCTTTTTTGGAACAATATGGTATTCCTAAAGAAACTGATATCGTTACCAAGTATAACACTACTGCTGCGCGTATTTATCGTGATCGTATGCAAGCTCTCATTGAGGGCCATGTATGGAAGAAACCAGCTGTTGTGAAGGAAGCTGTCAATGGTGGTTCTGATGGTAATCAGAAGCAATCGGCAAGTGCTTCTACATCCGGAAATTATCAAGGTAGTAGAATGGGAGGTGTTAAGGTGAAGTCGAGGTCGAGTGAGGATAAGTATACGAGATCCCGATTGGACGTTTCGTCGGCGAAAAAAGAGACTTTTTTTGCCAGCAAAAAGGCGGATAATAAATCTAGGCCTGAAGGTTTGCCTCCTTTACAAGGAACCAAATATGGGATTGGGAAGCGATCTTTAGTAGAGACATCAATAGCTCAACCTGCCGAAGATGTTGTCCACGCTGGAATCAAGGAGTTCATCACAAAGGGGTGTTGTGGTAACAAGTCTGGTGAAGGAGCAAGAATTGGGAGAATCGAATTTAATAATTGGTGGAAGGAAGGCCATACAAATGTTAGTAATGGGTACAGAAGTGGAAGTTTCACGTTATTCATTGAAAACCTACCAGAGAAGATCCATTGGAAGAGACTTGAATCTTTATTTTGCACTCACGATCATGTAATTGATGCCTTTATTCCTAACAAAAGGAATTCGAAAGGGGTTCGTTTTGGGTTCATTCGCTTTGCAACAATTGAAGAAGCAAGGAAAGCGATATCAAAGATGAATGGTTCTCATATTTACGGCAGCAAAATTAGAGTCTCTTTGGCTAAATATAATCCTCGACAGTCTTATTGGAGAAAATCCTCGAAAGTTGTTCAACGTAAGTCCGGGATGGAAGTTGTTTCGAGTAATAAACATTGTGAAGTTGAGGGTGTTGTGGACGAAGATAAACTTCACATGTTGAGTAACTTTCTTGTTGGGTGGGGCAAGAACTTCATCAAAATCGGTAATCTTGCTAGCCAAATGCAAGCCAAAGGACTCGCTGGTTTCACGTTAATGAGAGCTGCTGGAAATGTAGTTCTAATGATTTTTGAAGAATCTGCTTCGTTGAGAAGTTTGAAAAATGATAAATTAGAGATTCTTGCAAAATGGTTTTCCAGAGTTGAAGCTTGGTCAGAGAGTCTGGTGGTGGAGTGTCGTCGAGTGTGGTTAATTTGCGAAGGTGTTCATTTCCACGGTTGGAATTGGGATACTTTCAAAAACATTGCAGCTAAGTGGGGCAAATTATCAGCAATCGACGACAGCTGTGAGTTTCTATTGTCTTTTGATCGGGCACAAAATCAAATACTCACAAAGCCTCAAGTGAGAATTGATGAGTCGTTGGAGTTAAAGGTCGGTGCTAATTTCTTCAAAATCATGGTGTATGAAATTGATCCTTCCTTCAAACCAAATTCTTGGGTCCCTGATGATTGCGATAATTCATTAGAACTTGTTCCTTCAATTGGATCGTAACTATTCTGGAGCTCTATTCAGAGGCGTTTCTTTTAGTTTTAATGGTGGCAAGTGTTGGTTTTCTATTCTGTTATGTTCTTTTGCGTTGTTTTTCTTCCTTTTGCTTGAGATGTATTTTAGAAATAGGGTTATTGTCTTTGGGGCTTTGTGGTTGATGATGGGAGATTTTTAGGTGATATGGTTTTTTGTAATGGTGTATATACCCGTATGAGGGTATTCGGTGTTTTCACATGTACTGCGTGTTCTATTAATAAATTATGAGGCACTCTTTTCTTCCTTCCAATGTTCTTCAACATACTTCTTAGTATGTGGAAGAATACGAAGGGAGTTTTTAATGAGACATTCAACTTTTATAATAAAAAAAAAATCTGCCTCTTTTTTTTTTCTCTGTCTAAAGAATTGGAAGCTTTCTCTTTAAGTTGAATTTAATTTTGATTTTATTGAGGATATACTTGTATTTATGTAGGACCATAATCATATGAATATTTGTCTTACTTTCTGGGTTCTTGAGTGCAGCGAAGTCCAGCACAAAAATGTTGTCCGTTTTATTGGTGCCTGTACAAAGTCTCCTCATTTGAGCATAGTAACAGGTATGGAACTTCTGAGGAATTAGAAGAACTCTCTTTAAATTAAAGTAGGCTTCTTTTATAGTTCCATTTCCCCCTATTATTATGTCATGTTTGGTCATCAGTTCAGAAAAGCGTTATGTTCATTTTGATTAGTTAATCATATTAGCTGCCCTTGCTCTTTCATGTTCATTTTTGGCTTGTCTAAACATCTTTCAGAGTGGTGTCAAACTAGGCAGAACTAAAAGAATTTGTTCATTTGACAGCAATCAGGGGCTTTGGATTCCCCTCTCTGCAGCACCCTCCACTTGCTGTTTCAACTTTGGAATCCGTTTTAAGTGCAAATTTATTTATAAAATTCTCATTTTGCAGAGTACATGCCTGGGGGAAGCCTGTATGACTATTTGCATAAGAATCATAAAGTCTTGAAGCTCTCTCAGCTACTGAAGTTTGCGATTGATGTCTGCAAAGGAATGGAGTATTTGCATCAAAATCACATAATTCACCGGGACCTGAAGACAGCAAATTTGTTAATGGATGCAGACAAAGTAAGGATTTTTTTTAAGATCATTGGTTTAAGTGCACTCAAGGATTAGCTTATCGATTTTATAATAATTAAGGTTTCCAGTGAGCAACATAACTGAATATTAAGATGTAAACCAGAACCTTGACGTGTGAAAGAGTTGGGTTTCCCTCTGTAAACCTTCCTAATAAGGTGAAACTTCCATGAAGGATGGTAAACTAATTTTATGAATTTATTTACTACAGATTACTGAATAGAAAGCCATATGTTTATTGGGATAAAGAGCATGGTTGTCTTGAATTACTTTTACCCCATGTTTATGGACATGAATTCTATTTCATAGTGGTCCTCTATTAGGAAATTAGTTGAAGTGTCTCTGTAATCTGTCAGTAATTTTCTTTTTTTCGTTTTGTTAATATTAAGGAAATTAACATTTGGATTGTCAAAGAACTGTTGAAGGGGAGTTGTGGTTTATGTCAGTTTTGAAATATTGAAAAAATAAGCGGTGATCTACATCATAGGATATGATCTCTTGAAAGCCATCTAGTAGGCAAACTGCATGTGGGGTTTATAGCAAGGCCAAGTATTTACTGTTTAACTGTATTATGATGTGGTTCTTTACATTTGTTATAAATTGGATGTTGTAGCTGGATTTCACTGGTTTCATTCGTTTAATTGTCGCAAGCAAACCTTACTTTAGGAGTTCTAATGTTTTTGGGAACAGTAGGAACTACATTTGGTGTAGCATGTGGATTTTGGGATATATTAAGATAAATTAATTGTGATATTTCACTCATCTTGTATTTTGGTGGTTAATGTTTTAAAAATATTTTACTTATTATAGTCTGTACTGGCATCTGTAAAATTGTTCATATAACATTTTGAGGAGATTTTTGCAACATTTCATAATTTCTAAAACTGAGGCCTTTATCTTTCCTCTCAAGGTTGTCAAGGTAGCAGATTTTGGTGTTGCCCGGTTCCAGAACCAAGGAGGAGTGATGACCGCGGAGACTGGGACGTATAGATGGATGGCACCTGAGGTGTGAATCTCTTTATTTATTTTCCTTTTCTCCCAGTCAGTGGTTGTGTTTTATCTTTTAATTATTTCAAAATTTAGATTATGTTTGATGATTCTGATGGCGGAAACTGTGGAAAAGACCTCTAATGCTGTTCTTTGTATAAATGCTCGACTATGTTCCATTCTAACATTTCAGTTCATATGTTGTGCTCCTGGTCATTTATCATACTTTTTCCTTGCTTTACAATAATCATTATTGTTTCAGGCTTTTCGTTAGGTGTTGTATAATCATCTTACTTTATTTTCCTCCCACTAGGTCATAAACCATCAGCCCTATGATCAAAAGGCTGATGTATTCAGTTTTGCTATTGTACTGTGGGAGCTAGTGACAGCCAAGGTATTTTCCTGAAATCATTTGATGCAATTGGATGGGACATTGTTGAATTATTTTTTCTTGGGACTGCAGGTTCCGTATGATACCATGACACCACTGCAAGCCGCATTGGGAGTTAGACAGGTTTGCATTTATATTTAGGGAACTAAATAACTATTTTGTACCAAACTCGGGATTTATTTGGGTATATGAGATCATTGTTGAATTTCGGTTCCTTTTTTACCGCATAACACATTCGATGGTAGCTATTCATCTTTGTAATGTTTATGGATTTTGTTTGCTGAATTTCTTGCTCATGGCTTCCCCGTCATATAGTAGTTGCAAATACCAATCAGATACTTGATAGGTTTGGCAATAAATTTTCGAGTTCCGTTTTCTGCTAGCATGCTATCTTCTGAGTGAGACTCTTCCTTTCGATGCATGTCCAGTAGGCTCCAACAGCAGTGGAGTCTTCTGTTATGTTAGTATCATTGGGACTAAAAGCTTTTCTCAAGTTTCCTGATAATTTTCAGGGACTGCGTCCGGAACTACCCGAGAATGCACATCCGAAACTCTTAGATTTGATGAAAAGATGTTGGGAAGCGGCTCCGGACAAGCGACCGTCCTTCTCAGAGATAAGAGCTGAGCTCGAGACACTTTTGGAAGAAGTGAAGGTATGCAATCTTCAAAATTAAGTTAATTTTTAGTTTTTCTGAAGAGTGATTTCTTTTCATCTAATAGTGTAAAGTAACAGGAAACAACAGAAGCAGTAAATGGGAACTGAAGATTTTTGGTATGCAAGTAACCTGATGAGTAATACATTTTAATATTACTACACGAAAGGGACAAACCTAAACAAAATGCTGATTCACAATATTATTTTTTGGTTCTGTTTTGTTTTCTGTAATAACGATCCCTTGTATGAACATGTATACTTAATATCACGTTCGCTTATAAATTTAATATCAGTTTCTCTCGGTAGTTTGATGTTCAGCTTTTAGGCTATAGTCTGTTAGCCTACTTTTATGATTAAAAGAATACATTCTATTTACTATTATTTTGCATTGAACGAAAATTCTGATCCTTTGATGGATGAATTTTATCTATATTTTTTTATCACACGTTAAATATTTTTTAATGGCAATTAGTACCCTTTGGATATGTTTTATTCTTAGAGGAGCTAAATTATTGGATTTCAAAGTTTTAATTTGGATTTAGATGCATATAAATTGAGTAAAAATATTTAATGGCACCTTTAACATACCTCAAGATGCATCGTGCCGTGTCAAGAGGAGACTTCATTAGATTAATATTTGTAATATAAATTCGTATTCGATTAATATTTGTTTTAATGTTTTTCAATTATAATTTTTATTGAATCTAACACTATATTTATAATATGTATTTTTTATTATAATTTACATAGTAAATGAATTCAAATCTTAGTCTCTAAATGAAGTAATAAGAAGTCGCATCATTTTATTTAAAAACACTATAATATAAATAATTTCAGGATAAATAACTATAACAGCATTAATGGTTGAATTTTGAGAGTATTTTTATTTTGATCACATAACTATAAAAAGGTAATTATAATATTAAATTATTATATTTATTTTTTATTCTCTAAATTGATAAGTTTGAAATAATTGTGTATAAAAAGTTATTATTTTTTCACACATTTTTTTCGTTCTCTCTCTCTCTCTTTTTTTGGTGAAGAAGAGAAAATTAAACAGTTTCTATTTCACTATTCTATTGGCTTTCTCCTGGAGGATTGCCATTATTCCTGCTGGTGGTGTCTTACAGACGTGGCAGCTACCATCTCCTTCCCTTGCTAATTTCGTCATGCCGTCCGCAACCCGGTTACCTTCTCGATATACATGTTCAAATCGTACCTCCCAGTCCCTTTGGATTAGACTGCAGATATGCTGGTAAAACGTGGATACTTCACATCGATTACTCCTAACATCGATTACTCCTACCCTGTAGGATCTGTTTCACCTCTTTGTTGTCCGTTTCCAGGATTACCTTTCGTGCACCTCGGTTCCATGTTGGGTCTATTCCTTCTAAAGTTCCCCAGAGTTCTGCTTCCAACGCTGAACATGTGCCTATGGACTTAAAGAAACCTGCTATCCACCTACCTTCTTCATTCCTCAAAACCCCTCCACAGGTTGCTTTCTCGGTCACAACATTTCTAGCATCATCAATATTAAGTTTCAGCCAATCTGCTGGAGGTGGTCTCCATCTAGTCTCTTTCCTTACTTGTTGCCTTATATTAGCTTGCGACACTCTTTCTTCTTTAGCATTCTTCATCTCGCTTACTATCCTTCTACTGTTCTCCAAGACTGAATCTCTACTGATACTTTTCGGGTTTAAAATTAACTTATTTCTGCGATTCCATAGATTCCATAAAATCACTCCAAATAAAATGTCCTAGTCCTCCGTGTTCTTCACATTTCTTAGGATCCAATCCTTGATTGGCATCGACAGGAATTCCGGTATCAGTTCTACCTTGGTCAATGTTTTCCAGATTTCGGTTGCATTAATGCATTTGAGCGGTACATGGCCAGTATTTTCCCATGCATCTCCACATATTTAGCGTCGAGTTTCAGTTGCTATATGCAAGCCCCGTCCTGGCTATTTTTTAGCTCGGAACGAAATTAAAAAACAAATTTAAAAAATTTTAAAAATATATGATATAAAATTTTAATTAAAGTTTTTTTTGAAGTGAAACCATTCATTAACATTAATAATAATTACAATTTACATCTTAATAAATTTATGGGCTCCATTATTTTATTTTACAACTTTTTTAAAATTTCTTATAAAAAATAAAAGAAAATATTAATAATATTTTTAAATTTCTGGGCCCTGGGCTGGCGCCCCTTTTGGGCCCCGGCTATGTGTCTTCTGACTCTTTCACTATTCTTTAGGAGAGCTTCTCGGTCAACCAGCCACAGGAAGGTCCGTATCCGGTGTAAGCCTTGATATTTTGCTATCGAATTCCATACCGCTTCATCTTCTTCCCTGGTTTGCTGGATTCTCGTGTTATAAGCTGCTTTCACCGTGAATTTCCTGTCTGGTTGTCCGTTCCATCCAACTGAATCGTCTTGGAACGATGTATTTGGAGGTTTAACAGCAGCTAACCTTAGGAGTACTTCATAGAGCAGTAGGTTTTCAAATTCTTCCCATCTCCATTCACCGTTTTGACCTACCATTCCAGCAACTGAACATTTCTTGATGGTTTGTGCATCCATATTTGTTACGTAATGGATCAATGCACCAGTGTTAGTGAGCCATACAAGAATTCATGAATTAATGGGATAACACACCTAGGCTTGATTGTAACAACACCTGAACCATCTTCAACGATGTGGGTTGATGATTTAGATTGGCCCAAAGAGCAGTTTGAAGAATCATGAGCCTAATTAATAGGAATTTCAATAAGTGACTCTTCTGAAGTCGGGCCCGAACGAGTGGCAGGAAATGAATTTCACTAGGCCTAGACTGTTCGGGCGAAGCCAATACCCATTTGAAAGCCCACCCGATGTAAGCTAGCCGAGCCATCCAAACCCATAACTTCCTCTTCCCTAATCTCTTCCGCATGCACATCCATGACGACACACTGCAATAACTGTAATAAATACCCTACTTAAAAAAATAATTTAAGATGTACTTTATATGACTATTTTTTTTTCTTTCAACGCATTATTAAATAACTTTTCCCCAATAAAGCTATCAAGAAGAAAAATTAATGGCAAAGACATAAGTTGTACTATCTTTCTCTCTATTTTTTCCCATACCCTTTTCTTTTTAATTATTATTATTTTCACTGAATATTCTAATTACAAGCCAAGGTTAACAACTAAGGAATATAAATGAAAGAAAACTAATTGGAAGTTGAGTTGTCTCTTTCTTTCTTCTTTTCTATATTTCTGAATATTAAATTATTTTGCATCTTTTGGAAAAAGAAAATAACTTTTGACTTTTAAATTACTATCTTTTTTCATTTTATTCATTGAATGATTTTTCAATTCGCTTTAATTTTTTAATCAAACCTTAACATCGATATCTGATACAGTTTTTTATTTGTTTTTTGATTTATTGATCGATTAATTTAAATTAAATATTACATATGTATATTATGAATAATCCTTTTAATAAAAAATGATTAATTTTATTCCTTCAATTTGTTTTTATCAAACGCTTAACATCAAGATCTGAATTTTATTTGTGTTTGTCCCCTACAAATTTTTTGAATATATATATGTGTCTGCTCAAAAAAAATATTTCTGGGAAGTTATAAAATGTAAATAAATAAATAAAAAGGGAAGTTTTCAATTGATTCAGATTCATGCTTCATATTATAGGGTTGAAGTTGGCAGCTAAGAATAAATGTATCTAATAAAACTATAGGCTTTATTTTGTCAACAAATAAATATATAAATTTATATCTAATAAAATCCAAAGTCGTTGAACCTTGCTGACTGAGATGTATTGATAAATTGAAAATATAAAAATATTTTGGTTAAACAAACTGCAATTAGATCAAATGATTGGTACCTCCAATCTCCAAATCCGTTGCTTTCACAAACCATCCTATACACTTACAGATATTAAATATATTTATATTTAAATCACCGATTGCTATCAGTAATTTTTTTCCTAATATTGTGATTAAAAAATTGGAAAGTTGTCATGAAATTGAATTAAATTTATTAAGTTATAAAAGAAAATAAAAATGAAATTGAACAGTTAATCCTCTTAATTCGTTATCGAAAACATCGTGGTATTTATCTACTCTAAAATTTAAATTTATTTTTATTAGTTATTATATTAGTTGTGTTCGTTCTTTTTATGTTGTTAATAATTGTGTGTATCTTCAAAAATATTTTTGAATTCGTCAATTATTAAATTATTTTTATAAATATACTTTTATATATAAAATATGGTAATTCGTTCGTATGTAAGTGTGATAAAATTTAATGAGATGATGAATTAAAATTTTATCATTATTTTATAAAGTTTTGGAACGACTATCCCACGTGAGATGAGTAAATGCCATGCAAGCAAGGGTCAAACGTTGATGTAACATTTAGGGTAGTGAGTGGGACTGCCAGATTAATGTAGACGTAAAACTTGGTTTGATTCATTTAATGGGTAATGTATATGGAAATCGATTAAAAATTAATAAATTATTTTATTGACCAAAAAAACAAATTATATCTTTTTTTAAAATAAATATCATATCAACAGATCTGAATCACACCGGCTTCCAATATCATTTAAGAGATAGAGATTGAAAGGAATTAAAGATTTGGTGTCCCACATGGTTAGGTGATTACCCTAATTAATAAAAATCATTGTTGATTGTTACAGACAATCCAAGACATATTTCACAAGCAATTGTTCATTATCTGGGACATTAATTTCCACTCTTCGACGACAGTAAATGATCTCGAACAACGTCAGACCGAAGTTGTATATGTCGGCCTTCGTCGTTATAGGCATGTTCCTATGCCACTCCGGTGCAAGGTAACCCCTTGTTCCCTTATCCCTGTAAATGTCTTGCTTTGTTTAGCCATCATTAGCTTGGCTAAATCAAAATCCGCTATCTTCTCGCCCAATGCACTCTTTAGCTCTTTGTATTTGTTTTTGTACGAATTAATTTACTTTAGTGGTTAAAAGAATCGTTGTTGTGCTTAGAAGTCATAGATTCGAACATCAGCGACTGCAAGGGTGATTGAACTTTCATTATTAAATGGTTAAAAATATTTAAAACATATATTACCTTTGTAATCACCTTAATTTAGAATATCAGCGACTGTAATGAAGATGTCCGGGACATATTGATGAAATCGAAACCGATAAGACATTCACGAACGGAATCCCTGTCCTTTAAAGTGCAGAAACTATTCAAA